TACTATCAGGGAGCACCCACCACTTTTTCAACACCTAACAGCAAATTCAGAATGCAGCAGCTGGAATTGTTACTAGGAGCAGAAAGTACGACCATATAACCCCCATACTTAGCTCTCTTCATTGGCTTACTGTCAGGTACAGGGCGGACTTCAAAATCTTTCTACTTACTTACAAGGCTCTCAGAGGTCAGGCACCTGTCTATCTAATAGAATAGAATATTAATGTTTACAATCCAAGTCTCCTGCTTAGATCACAGAATGCAGGTCTTCTTCATATTCCACGCATTAATAAAAAAACGATGGCGGTAAAGCCTTTAGTTACAGGGCCCCTAGCTTATGGAACAGTCTCCCACCCCATGTTTGGGATGCCGAGTCAATCTCAGTATTCAAGTCCAGACTGAAGACCTATTACTAGCCTGCTGCAACCATGGGTGCTGGTGCTGCTGTACCTGCCATTGTTTGTCTGTGTTGGCCCACCAGGTAGATACATCTGCTCTGACCCAACTATCCTACTCTCCTCCCCACATGTCCGGATGGCGCCCGGGCTGGGCACCATCTGAGTTGGCCATGGATCCAAGAGGGACATCGTGGATACAGCTATCATTTATAGGATTTTGCTGGTTTACAGAGATCTGAATGGAGTACTGACATACAGAAGACATGATGGATGGATTAATACCCTCATTCATTTATATCTTTTTTAAATTGTATAATGTTAGCATGCCCAAGGGGGTTGGGCAGCCAGTTGACCTTGGACCCCCGGAGGTTTCTTTTCTCCTTATTAGTTTGTGGTTCCTCTCCTCCGTTGTCTTCTGGTCTTTTCTGTTCTGTATTCACATGTATGGTCACTTGCATTGTTGAGTGCCTTGGGGCAGCCTCAGAGGCTGAAAGGCACTATATTAAAATAAATCGAATTGAATTCAAAATATAACATTACGTCTCGCAAAGTTAAACAGAGCACAGTGTAGTTTCAGAAACTTATCGATTCTTTCTTCCCACACTAAATTTCACAAAGCTCAATTCTGTAATGCTGATCCTTTAAACTTTTCTTGAACAGGAAAAACATTTTTTTTTCTAATTAAGATAAAGGTCTTTTTGTATGTAGCTTGATTTGTGATTTTAAAATGCATGAGTCGCTGCTCTTTAGCTGATTAGGGGCACATCCCACATTGCATGTTACTGTACCTCTGTCACAAGAGAAGAGGGATCCTTCAAAATCTATCTGCACCCAAAGCCACCAGCAGGTACACTGAACACTGATGTTACACAACCAGGGGAACTGAAGATCACATTTTGTCCCACACTTTCATCTGTATCACGTTCCTTTTCAATGGTTACACTTTGCAATCCATTGGATACATAAATTATGAATAATGCAGATAGATATTTATTAATTAGCTATTACTATTTCATAGGAACAAGTAATAGGTTTATTCCATGCTGAAAAAAAGAAGAAAGAGAACACAACGTTTCAGCCGTGGAGTCTTCTTCAGGTGTGAAAAAAGCTCTTACACACCCGAAGAAGGCTCCACGGCCGAAATGTTGTGTTCTCTTTCTTCTTTTTTTCAGCATGGAATAAACCTATTACTTGTTCCTTTGCAGCCTACACATGCTGACGCAGCTCCCCACCTGAACTATTACTATTTCATATGCTTGGAAGCAGAAGTGGAGACAAACTTCTAATTGCAATTTTGTGTATACGGAGTCAGTCAGCAGCCAGAGACAGCTGATTTGCCCTTGTTAGGACTCGCCAGCAGGGCATTGCTGAGTTTGACTACTGAAAAGAGTATACAGTATATAAGTGTCTCGCAAGGAACACCTTACTTAGATAGACTCCCTTTAAGAAAAAACTCTGAGCCTTTCTCTTAGAGTTACACAAGGTTGTGGGGAAGAGAAAGGCTTGTTTTTTTATGAAGATGCGTTTTAAATGTGAAAAATGCTATGCAGATAACGGGCCAGCACACTGAAAATAGGTTGGCTCTTTTATTGTGCTGCCAGTTCTCAGTCTCTTTGAAATCAGCAAAGGCTGGCAACTCACCATCAGCTGGCAAGCGACTGCAGGCACTGTGTGACTTACTGGACGGAAACCAATCTGACGAGTCTGATTTGGGAGCAAAGACAAAACCTGCGCCGGGCGCGAGGTGACAAGCAGCAGTGAAAGGAGTGTGGTGAGCAGGTCCCATTCCTTTGCAGAGCTACAGCGCCCAGTGAAGTTCACAGAGGAGCGCATCTCTCATCTCAAGGGGCTATTCCTTAATGTCCCCTCCGCCGACATTGAGTGTCCACTGCAGGAATGTGGACTCGCTGCTCTTGGGGTGAAAGCAGAGAGCCTGCAGATGCATTTAAAGTGAAATTGCTTCAGAGGGAAAGTCTTCCTGCAGCATATGGCCAAACCGAGGGGCAGATGGATTGGGTCAGAGTGCCAGGGGAAAAAGAGAGCGTCTGTTGTGATCTCTCTCCTTGCCTAATTCAAACAGGACTTCCCCTGTGGCCACCCCTTTGTTCCCATCAAGGCAAAAAAAAAAGGCAAAAGGACGCCTAGTGTGAATGTGATGGTTACCATTCACTCCTCCCAGTCACCCCCAGGTGATTCTCCGATTCGCTGTCTGGTGGTTTTAACCTCTGGATGTGAAGGGTAACAAAGGCGTCTTTGTCAGTTTCACAGAAACCTTCAACACAAGATCTTCAGCCAGTTGTTGTTGTTGTTTTTTTATATGGGCACTGCAAGACAGAACGGCTCTGTGTCGGAGCTCATGTCTGCGGAAGCAGGGATTTTCCATAATCAAGCCTCTGTTGAGTGGTGAAATGTCAAAAATGATATCGTTTTGTGCCAGGAGAGGTGGCAAAGGGCTTCTGGGAAGCACAAAAACATGATTAAGCGTGAGCTGTGCTAGGAGCAAGTCTTTACTTCAAAACTAAAGACCAGGATTCGATTGCAGCCACAGTGGAGCTTCAGTCGGGCAGCGTGTCATGAGATCTGCCGCACCACCTTGGCACGTGACTAGATCGTGGCTTATTCTGCACCAGTAGGGGAGCTAATTTGCTCTGGTGAGCTCTCCTCTGCACACTGCCTTAGTTACTACTGCTGGCCGTGTGCCCAGGAAAGCCAGGCTGAGGCTGCCCAGGCACCCTACTAATAGAAATCTTAGTAAATTAAAAAGCTGATGGGGGGACAGTCATGCATCTACAGCCAACCTTGAATCAAAACTGTATTTCTACAAATGGCATATAAAATTGGGAGCCTGTGTTTATGAAATGAAATGTGGCTATATTATTTTTTTCCCTTTTTCTGTTGGTGTCCTTATAGGATCTGATCTGGAAAAAGTTCACCTGCATAATTGCAAATAACACAACTCCCCCCCCCCTCCTCCTCCTCCTCCCCTTAACTCCTGATGAAGCAGAAACAGAAGTGACATTCTGTGACAGAAGAGAATGAGGGGGACAGAGACTTGGGGGGGAAAACTGACTCTAAACTGGTGCCATATGGGAAATAATCAACTGGTAGGCTGTGGCTTCCAGCTCTGTGTGTGTGGTATTTGCTTTAATTACCCAGCCCTGTGACAGCGCTGCTGACACGCTCGCTGAAATGTGGCGCTTGATGGCTTAGACCTTCACCTCTAGCCTGGATTAATGGGAGGGAGGTCACTCCAATGCAGTGTAAACAGCTACTTAATCTATTTCCACAGCCACTTAGACCCATCCTCTCCCCTTATTTATGGGGGGAGAACAATCCTTCCCTGAACCCCTTTGTGGTTGCGGACTTAAGATTCGTGGCCCCGTTGGTACTCACTCCAGTGTGGTTATTTTCTGCGCCAAGCTGGCCATCACGGCGAAGAGCTTGAGGTCTGTCAGGCCATCTGTTATGTGATAGTCCACCATTTCCAAAATCTGGAGACAGAAGACAAAGTGGGGGGACAGACAGACAAAGGAGACAAGAGAGTTATACTCGGACACTGTAAAATCAGAGGGTTTTAATCAGTGTTTGCCTTCTCTCCTTTTTCTACATGTCTATCTCTGCCTTACAAAAGGCCATGACCTTTTACTGCGAATAATGCCGGTCAGTCCTGGACTAGTTCAATGTTCTGTAAGAATGTAGAAGAAGCAACCTTGGAAGTTGATTTAAGATGTCACAGAGCTCACATGCTTGTGTTACTTCAGCAGACACACACCATGGAACAGGTGTTGCAGGAAAGCCCGCTGGAGAACTGCCCCTGGACCTTCGTAAGTGTAGCATAACAAGGCGAGGAGTGAATGCAGAGCTCAAAAAGACAAAGGGCTGTGATGGGCCCCTGTAAACACATCACACAGCATCTCGTACTGTGCCCCTGCTATCGAGCACAGAGGGTGCTGGCTTTTACTTGTTGAATGTATATTGAAGTATATTGTGTTACGCCAAGGTATATCAATCGCAGAGTACTGGAAGAGAAAGGGCGGTACAGTGAACAACAGAAAAGCACATTCAGCTGAAGAATACTTTAAAAAGCATGAGTGGAGGAGTACTCCTTCACAGCACTATTTTACAATCATTCTCTTAAGTCAATAAAAACTGAAACAATTAAATCATATACAGATGATTAAACATAAATCCATATTTATTTAAAAACTATAGAAAGAAAATAAATACTAGGTGCACAAGGATTTTATTTCAGTGCCCATGTACACCAACAGGGTTTGGGGGCTCTTTGCAGGGTAAGGCAAAATAAACAAGAGAAAGAAAAAATCGAAATAACAACTGAACGTTAATATAGGAATAAAGGCAGAGATAGACATGTAGAGAAAGGAGAGAAGGCAAATACTGATCAAAAGCCTGACTGGAGAAATGAGTCTGTAGTTATCATTGCCCAGATCAGCAGGGAGTGAGCTCCGGAGCTGTGGAGCAAGCCGGCTGAGCAAGACCCTTGTGCCCATGAGAAGTGTCAGCAAGAGGTGACTCAGCAGAACGTAA